ATCATAATACATGTAGAAAAGTAGAGAAATTAATTTGCTTCATTCAGCTAGGGTTTTCTCTTCATTTACTTTCTCTTCTAACAAAATTCAACTTTTTTTTTTCTCTGTTTGAACTTAGAAATCATTTTTACATATTTATTTATTAAACAAATAAATAGTTGAGTTATCGACACAGAGCCAAGCAATGGCATCCTCCTCCGCCGGTGCGTACAACTCCCCTTGCGCAGCGTGCAAGTTTCTCCGGCGCAAATGCACGGCGGAGTGCGTCTTCTCTCCCTACTTCCCGCCGGAGGAGCCCCAAAAATTCGCGGCCGTGCACAAGGTATTTGGCGCCAGCAATGTGTCAAAGCTCCTAAACGAGATCCCGCCGCACGCCCGTGAAGACGCCGTCGCCTCCCTTGCCTACGAGGCAGAGGCCCGCGTCCGGGACCCAGTCTACGGCTGCGTGGCCGCCATCTCATACCTCCACCGCCAGGTCGACCGCCTCCAGAAGGAACTCGACTCCGCCAACGCCGCCCTAATCCGCCTCGCCGGCGGGGCGCCGCCGCCGCCGCCCCATAATGGTAATCATTACTATCACCGTCCGCCGTGGGGAGGCGGCGGTGGGTTTTATAATGACCCTAATAATGGAGGAGGAATTTGATGGAGAGAAACAAAAGGGGAAAGACAATTTGAGGTGGTGGTGGAGAAGCTATGTGTCGCTAGGGTTTTGGTTTGTGCCTCTTTCTCTCTCTAGGGTAATGGACTCTTTCCCTTCTTCNTGAGAAGGTATAATTATATTTGTGTTGAGGATATATATGTATGGTTTTTTGAAATTATTTTGTGGTTTTGGTTCTTCAAATGCATTGTTTGTATGTCTTTACTTGGTCGAGCATAGTGTGCAAACGAACCGAGCGGCTCGAGCTGCTCGAGATATGTGGTATAAATATTTCAATATTTTTATATATGTACTTAATGGTAATTTTACTTGAAATATGAGTCAAACTCGAGCCGAGCTCGAGCAATCTTTCGAGTATTTTGAATTCAATCGATCTGGAGCAATTGTTTTCTCGAGTCGACCTCGAGCATAGTGTACTTAATGGTAAAAAAACAAATCAATCTTCCTCGATAAGGTCAATTCTCGACTCGACTCAGTTCGTTTACAAGCATTGTGAAAATGAAAAATTGTTTTGATGTGATTTTTTTTTTTGTTATTATTTCTGTTTTCTATTGGAGAAGTCCAAAGACTAGTGAGGAGACTTCAGTAAACACATTTTCTTTATCTAAAGAGAGGAAAGTTCGACTCTACCGCTGAGTGCAATGCAGTTCTGCATCAGTTTTTGGTTGCATCAACACACACGCATATATACCACACAGATGTGTGTTCATCGAAT